GCTTGCTCATGCCTATTTGAGTTGCTTTGGGCAGTAAGTACTGGGAATATAACACATCCTTGGGCTACAGCCCATCTTCACAGAACAATTTTGCTGCTGAATATGCACTTCTTAATAAGGGTAACTGCTCATCTCCAGACTGTAATGATACCAATGTACTCATGCCATGGACTGCAACCTACTGTTCTGGCAGTTCTCTTGTTTTATTTACCCACCGCAAGAGCTGGAACGAATTGTATTTGTTGGTGAATCTCATTTTTGCTGGCTTTCCATCTCAGGCAGTGGAAGATTTTATGGAGCTATCTTGTCCATTTCAAAACCTTTTTTCAATCATCCTTTTCCCCAAGTTACACTGTCCTGAAATAGCCCTGTGTTTAAACATCAATCATGCAAATGTGTTCGGTGTTTCCCAGGGTTCAAAACTCCCTCTGCAAACACAGTGGGATAACTACTGCGAGCCTGCACTTCTAACCACCAACTTGGCTGGCTCTGGCTGGTGTAGGTGATATTCTTGCTCTTTCCTAGATTCTTGTGCATCTCAGCTAAGATGACAACCAATTTATCTGCACATAAATTCCAGGAGTAAGGAGTACTTCTGAGTGTCAGGGATTAGGACCACACTCAGAATGTCCCAAACCTGGACTGGGGTGAGATTTGTGTGTTTCACAGCCCCTTACCCAGCTCTGTCACTTCTGCAGGACCCCAGGGGGATCCTACTTGAGGCCCTGCCTGTGTTTATCAGGAAGACAAGAGCATTTCCTTAGTAATTCCAGGTGAGCAGGATGCTTTTCCTGATAGTGAAATATTTGGCCATTATAAGCTATAAGAACTGTAGCTGATTACAAGCAAACCTGAGGGCTCCTGTCTCACACACTTGTGCTGGCAGTGCTGTTTTGTGGATCTGGTGTAAGAGCAAATCTCCAAAGAAAAGGTTCCATGGGAAAAAAAAAAAAAAATGGGGGAAGCTTTCTGCATGTTTGTTTCAAGTGGGACCGGTTCTCCAACCTGTTTCAGTGTTTGTCCATAGCACTTGAGCCCACATAGCTGCTGGGAGAGATGGGAAGTGCCAGGACAGCAAAAGGAAAGGCCAGGGGATTGTGGTGGTGAGACAAAGCTTTTGCCCTGTGAATGCTGATGGATGTTTTGGGGGCATCCAGGCAGTCTCAGACTCCTGATTACCCTCCCTCTTTCTTATTGAGGCATGTACCTGGGGGATACACCTTTTATCACTTTGGTTTCTTCTTATCACATGGTGCTTTTTAGAAAATCACACTTCAGGCACTACTAAAATATCTGCTCTGTAGTATTTGCCTTATCACAATACTTGGTTTTGTTACTTTTGCAAAAATCTTAATGGGGGCTGTATTCTTATAAAAGTGAACCTGCATAACGAGTGACTCCATTTTAGAGCCCAATACTATCAAACTTGTCTCTCTTATCCTGAGGCTGTACAGAAGAATTTCCCTGGTTCAGGGAAAGAAAACCTGCCACAAATCAGTGTTCAACAACCTGTGCCTTCCCAAAGCTCAAGCACTGCCATGACAGTTTGATAACCAGCTGAAAAATGTGTCTGGTGGAAGATATCCAGAGTGGGAGTCTGGGCCTTAAAAAACAGGGTCCTAATCCATAACAAATTACTGTGTGCAACACTTGTCCAGAGAGCCCACAGAGTGAGGTAAGGTTGCACCATGCTCTCTCTCCTTCCTTGAATAAAAAGTGCCTGCTCTAATGAGAAGCAAGTCCCTGATTCAGCAAAGCATTTAAGTGTTTTGATGAACTGGGGCCAAACTGAACATCTTGTGCAGAACTCAGTTGTCTAGTGAACAATATTGAATATTTTATTCATGGATGCAGACTTAAATGAAAATTAAAGACATGGCTATTTAAGGCCTTAGGTGCCCAAACTCATATTGTTCATTTTTTATTATCTTAAAGTAATCATTTGTACGGGAAAAGAAGCAGCCACCTCCAGAAAATCCATCCCTGTCATGCTGGGAAGAATATTCTCAGTTCTCCCCCAGCACCCTGTCAATTTGATGGCTTATGCTGCTTGCTTAGAAGCTTGTCACATCCAGGCTATTTCAGATCAACAAGTTCCAGCCAGTATCCTCTCCTTTCCTACCAGGAACACCGAGCTTTAGTACCCTCACTGGCTGCATAAGGTGTGGGCGAGCGAGGCACAGCCTCCAGTAGACCAGATCAGGTATTAGAAGGGTCTTAATATTGTGTCATTGCCCTTACTTGGCCATCAGTCCCCGAGTCCCTGTCAGGCTGCTCTCCTCACCCCAACACCTCAGGCTGTTCTGCTGAAAGGGTGTCTCCAACTCAGAGAACACCAGCCTTGGAAAATGAAGCAGCATGGCAGGTGAAAAACAAACCTCAGTCTATGAAAGCTTTCACTGAGCAGTGTTTCACCTGAAATGCTGGATGCAGCAGCATGCTGTGCCTGAAGGCTGCACCACAGGCAGGTAGAGAGAGCAGAAACATCCTGACTTCAGGGTGCTTCTCCTTAGAAACATCATCTTTTTCTAATGAAATTTTTCAGTAGACCATTATCTATGCCTTTTGTATGTATGAAAATATTTCCATAGATAGTAAAATGCCGAAGAGAGCTGTTTCTAGTATGGCAACACATACTTTATTTTTTTCTCCTTGTCCACCCTACAGCAACAATCTTCAACTCCCTTTTACTTATCAAGACACCCACTTGTCCTCTCAGTTAGGCAGAAAACAGTCAAAGTATGGATTAAAAATAAAAATTTGGCACTTTTCACCAGCTTGTCTATACTTAGATGCACCCACCTCCCCGCCATGGAATATAGGCAGATGCAAATGGAAAGAAAATGAAAAAAAAAAAAAGAAGAAGAAAAAAAAAAGAAGAGTACATGCAGACATTTTTTTCTCTCTTAGATTTATTCCCATACAGCTACTAGTCCTCAAATGATTTCCAGAGCAGGCATAAATTACATGGCACTCAGTTTATCTGCTCTGGAATGGCAAAGTGCACACACAGATACACACTGTGGTTCCAGGGAGTCTAGAGATTTCAAAGGTGCTTTATCTTCCAGATAACTCACTGGCAAAGAAGCATGAATTAATAACAGTGTTGGTAACTAAACTAAAATGATACGTTATGAGTATAGGCGTCAAAAAAAGAAGCGTCATTTAATGCATCTTACAGATTTGTCCAGAGCAAGATATTAATCCTTTATTTTGTTTTTTTGATTTGTGGATTCCTAAGCATTTTTCCTGGAGAAGCACAAACCCTTGAATTGTGTATTTGAATCTGCTGGCAATGGCTTTTTTTTCCTGTGCTCTCCCAGCATCACTCCCCTCCGAGCAGTCTTTGGGGATCTGTGAACCAGAAGTAAAACCCCATCTCCTAGCAGTCAGACAGGAACCACACTCCCCTACATCCCACACATTGATCTGATTCACTGCATGACTCTTGTAAGCCTTCATCCACCTCCTCTCTGGGAAAACACAAAAGATCCACAGTTTTTAAGTTCCCGGGCTGAGGCACTTTGAGCTTAGTACAGAGAAAGGCTGAGCGGGGCCAGAGTTCCCACGTACGGAAGTGCCAAGTGCTCAGGAATTTTGTACAGGCATAGCACTGAGGCACTTGAAATGACGGGAATGCTGTGTACTTGTGCCCTTTGCCTCTGCAGCCCGTGACACCATGGCTCTAAAGGAAGGTGAATCTATTTATATCCAGTGGTAGAGGCTGGAGCCCTCACTCTCACCGGGCCTTTGAGAAGCCTTTGTCATGTTTTTGCAACACTATTTGAATGACTCGGAAGGCTTCAGGAAAAATAGTAAATACTGTCAAAAATGCAAGATGTTGGAATCCCTATGCCAGGGGGAGGGAAAAACGTGCCAGAAGCTTAGCCAAGCCTGACGGGGTATGGTGGATCTTGATCTTTGCTCACCCCATAGTTAGATATTGTTCCCCCCGCCCCCATTTTAATGGAGTTACTGTCTTATCTCTTAAAGCAATCTCATTAAAGGCAGGGGAGAAGACAGCAGAGGGTGTGAGGCCTGTGATTACAGATGGAAGGTCGATAGAAATACCGTTTCATACGCCTTGTCTTCTGTTTCCCCTCTCAAGGGGGATGGACTTCAAAAAAGCATGAACCCCTTTTGACCACTTCTCTGAGCCACACTGACAGAGCACTCATGGTGGAAATGTCACAGAAAGAAACGACAGATGAGAGATGGCATTCTTTCCTGTTCTGGGAGCTATCTACTGCTGGGATCCTCGTTTTCCCAGCAAATGCAGCCCTAGGCTGCAGCAGCTGAGAAGGGGTAAAAGAAGATTTGCTTCTCTGTGTCAAGCTACACGTAGTCCATACTGGAAGCAGGAATATGTTTGAGGGCAAGCTGTCATATCTAGCAGCAGGAGCAAAGGGCTTTCAGAGCCTTGGACTCTTAACTGGGAGCTACTACAGCTTTTTTGCATGCCGGCCTTCCCTCACTGTGACTGTTCTCCTGTTCTGAAAGTGGCCATAATAAAACTCCCTGCTATAAAACAATCCCTGCTTCTCAAAGCAAAAAATGTGGCAGGAGGTCCCTGTGATATCCACAGCAGCAAGCATTCACATAATGCCCTGCATTGCTTAGTTAAGGCTCATTCTTCTCTTTTCAATGCATCCCATGCTACCTACCCTTGGAATTCGACTGCTGTGCAGCAGCCCACAACCACACCACAGCTGCTGTCTGGGGGGAAAATGATGTATGGTTGCAGATCTGAAAAGTAACAATTCAAGATTTCTCCTGGGATGATCTGGAGTGGGACACACAAGCCAAAGAGCAGGAATTTTCAGGTGTCAAAGCCTGACTGGGATTTCACCTGCTGGCAGGAGTGAAGGTCCCTGTACGTTATCTCTGCTTCTCTCAGTCACCCTGCCAAGGTCTCAAAAGAGTTTGTAATTGCTTGTAGATACTGAAAACAGAGCTCTCCTGATTTTTCTTAAGCTAATCTCACTGATACCTATTATGGAAAGAGAACACAAGCATTTCCAATACAGAACATTACAATCCCTGCCTGGTTTGATGTAATAAAATTTCCTTTGATCTGTATGGATTTGTTCTCCGTTTAAATCACTGACAGTGACACTGAGACACTAATCCAGGTTTACAGCACCATGTAGCTGCATGCTACAGTTTCATATTATGCAGAAATGACAATGCATCAACCACCCCAAGGAAAAGATGGGTCAAACTGATAGTGTGCCAAAGCAACTAGACTGCTTAGGTAGCACTTCAAGGGGGAATATAGTGCAGAAATAGTCTGGAGGTTTTCTTTTAGCGTCCTATTGATGATGCTTCTTCATTGCCACATAGAAAGAAAGAAAGACAAGTTTGGTATGGTGTATTGCTGTTCAGGAGTGAAATGCTGTTAAGGAGTGAAAACGAAACGAACAGGTGATTTCAGGCACTGGAATTTTGACCCTAACACCTATCCCCTTCTCCCCACCCACAGGCAAGAGCCAAGCCTTTCCTGGGAAATTTCAGGAAACCTCAAGAGTAAGTAATGAAAGCTATCTGAGAGTTGTCCCAGGGTCAGGTTGGTGCAGCTTGGGAGGGAGACAGCTGTCCAGGTATTTTCTAGGCAAACCAAAAGCTTCAGCCTCCCAGTCTGTCAACACTGTGCCAGATCTAATAATGACCATGAGAGCCTCCAAAATGGAGCTTATGCAGACAACTAAAAAGTGTCTCTGAAATGCTAGCCTGCTGTCTAAAGTTGCATCTCATCTCACTGCTGGTTTTTGCCTTCACGTTCGGTATGTTCTGTTGAGAAGCACTTCAGAGCTGAGCAATCAAGATGCTTCTAAGTCCAGCTGGAGTCACGATGATGGAGCATCCCCCAGATCTGCAAACAGCAGATCCATCAGAAGCTCTAAAAGCAGGTCTAGGGAGCAGTGACAGGGCCAAGCCCCACCACTGGTGTGATGCCTTTACACATGGTTGTTTAAACAAACACGATGGTTGCAGTGTCAGATCTCCCCCTAACAGACTGTGGTTCCATGGGCAGCTTGATGAGCTCTCTGTGCAGGATGTTTAAGGCTTGAATTCAGTTCTCTTATTCTGTGGAAGAGTTTCAAGCCATGCTAAGCAGAGAAATGCTGTACTGTGTTCCTCCTTCCTATGCAAGTTCACAGCTATTTCTGGGATCCTCAGCAGGTGGGTCCCAAAAACTCATGAAACACTTTCTCATTTCCAAGTTTACACAGGGTTCCAGGGCTTCTACTAAGCTGTCGAGAATAATAAAAAAAAAAAGCATCAGCTCACTTTCTTTACCAGAAATCTAGACAGAAGTAAAAGCAAAGTGAACAAACTTCTACAAAAAAAAGAAAAAGCAAAACCAAAGAAAGTGAACGAACGTAGAGTCTTAATTTCTGCATCTGTGTATCGAGAATTTGAAGCGTAAGGGAAGGATGACCACAGCCAACCTTGGTCTCCTAGCCAGGTTCCCTGAGCAGCAGAGGGCACAGAAAGCTGTCCCCTGACTCTCCACCGAGTCCTCAATCGCCAGAAGTATTTTCCGGCGAGAGCACGCTCATCTCCCACGGAGTGGAAGGCGCTGCGGCCCCGGCAGGTTGGCAGCATGGCAGGAGCCGTGCCCAGCAGAAAGCGTGTGGCTGGAAAAGGAGCACCGGGGGGTCATGAGCCTGGCAGCGGCAAAACCCGCGGGGAACCGGCACCTGCGGGCTCCGGGCGGCCACAGGGCCGNGAAGGAAGAGCCGGGCCGAGGGCGTGGCGGAGCCCCGGGCGAGGAGTCGGCGTCCCAAAGCCCCCGGCTCCTCCTTGAGGCCGTGTCTCCCCGACGAGGGGCCTCCCGGGCGCCCGCAGCCCCCGGGGCCGGCGTTATCTGGTGGCCTTGCGGAGCTGCTGGCCGGGCTCCGGAGAGTACTTTAGACTTTCCTTGAGACACGAGGGCCCGGCGTGGGGGGGCGGGAGAACGGCGGCCGCAAGCGGTATTAGGGCGGATTTGCCTGTTGGTAGCGCCGAGGGTGTGATGGGAGGTGGTGGTGGCAGCAGGGAGGCGGACACCCCCGAGGTCTCCTGTTCATTGGGGCGATAAATAACTCGCAGAGGGCTGTGCAGCGGTTTCTGCCTCGTATGAAAGTTGTTTCTGCCTTATAGCCCACTATAGGGCTACAGGTCCTTAATTCAGATGGTATCCTTTAACTGAAGAGAAGTGACTGTGAAGGCTGTTGGAAGGAAACAGTAGTGGAAGGCTGCTGGGGGATGTTGTGCACAAGCACCCGTGTGTGGGGCAGAAACACCTCCCGGCTTGCTGATCTTGGGTCAGAAAACTAGAGACCAGATTCTGGGTTTTGGTGCTTGGATGTTTGTTTTTTTCCCCTTCGATTGCTTCCCTGTGTATTTTGTGTAGTTGGAGGTGTGTAGATTTGTGTTTACTTTTGGTTTAGACTCATTCCTGTAAAATTCCAAGATTTCTCTGCTTCCTGAGGAGAGGGTGACCGTGCAGCGGTGGTAGCGTGTTCCCTGCCAACAGGTGTTCTGTGCTTCCCAAGCGCTGTTCAAACATTGGCTTGACTTTGCATTGTCCTCACCGGTGCAGTACAGCAGCAGCAATGTTGACATAACTGCATGAGTAGTAGGGAGAGCTGCAGGAACATGGCTGAATGGATAGTTGCTTGGAAAAGGGGGATGAGGAGTGTGTAGGGTGGGCATTCAGTGCGTTTGTTCTCTGTATGGAGTTTCGTTTTCTTTTCCTAAGGAAGTCCTTCTGTTGCTTGGCAGCCCAGCCTGTTGCATTTAAGTCCAGTAGGCAACAGGCAGTGTGAACAGTAAAAGTTCATCTAGGAGATAAAACACTGAGGAGAGATTTGGCAGCGTGGGCTCTGAGTCTTGTTTCAATCATCAGAGCAGCCTTTGAGCTGTGTGTGTATGTAGGACTGCAGCGCACAAGGCTTTTTGGGGGCTTAGCCTGCCTTGGTGGGACTAACAGAAGGTACAAACATTTTCCAGTGTAGACAGCTGTCTTCTTGCTCCACTTCAGATTTCATAGGTTGCATGGATAATAAAGCAATTAGCCTGGAACTGAAGCGCCGCCACAAGGGATAATTCAGCAGGGATAATACGGCTGCCTCATGCTTTCTGGTAGCAAGTCACAAGATTTGCTCGTTCAGCAGTGAGAATGCATGCGTATAATTGGGGACCCCCTAAAAAATGGGCATGTGGGAGAGTGATGCAGTAGAAAAGGTGGAGTGTGGATGCAGCACTGAGCAGCATGTGCCTGCCCTGAGTTAGGGTGCCCAAAAAGGAAACTTCTATCCCATGGGTGCATGGGATGGAAGAGGGAAAAAAAGAGCCTAAGTGTTAGAAAACAAGTTTCTTCTCTCTGTGGCTGTGAGGAGAAGCTGAGTCTGTTTTACTTTAAATGGTAATGGGGCAAAGGGGGGAGGGCTGTCAGCTGCTGCTATGCAGCCCAAAAAGCAGATTATCCATCAGTGGGGGGGGTTTGGGGAGGGTTGTAGTGGAGGAAAGCACTCTGGATTTCATTCCTCTTCAGAGCTGACTGGAAGCTGTTTGTAGACAGCAGCACGTTTCACTCCATCTCCCTCGCTGCGCAGGCATGGCACGGAGTCGGTGGCATGTGCTTTGGGTCACTTCTAGAGGTCAGCTCTGCCTTAAAGGCCATGAGGAGGAGACGTCCTTGATTCATATCGTATCTTCTAACTAAAGAAAAGTGTGTGTGAAGGCCATTGGAAATAGTTGTGAAGACTTTTTGAAGCTGCATGCTGTGATCAAGGACCTGTGTGTGGAGCAGAAACACCTCTTGGCTAGCTCGGGTTTCCATGAACCCCAGTTAAGGGTGTTTTTCCCGTCAGAAACTAGGAAGGTTTATTGCATAATGGAACCAGCTAAGGGGAAATCATGCAAGTCAAAGCAGTCCTTATCTGGTGCAATTAAAAAAATCTTCATGTATTACCTTCCCCTGTTTTTTTCTTCATTCCTTATTACTACGGCTATTTTATGACAATTCGCTTTTTATTACTGTGGCTGGAGGATAGTCCTTTTGCCCAAGAAAACCCTGGGCCTAGTCAGTGCATGTTTCTGGAAAAAATGGGGGAGACAGGGGCCTCTGGCAAGTGAGGTGAGCTGCACAGCCCACTCAGATCCTGACCTGCTGAAAACTGCAGCTCATCCTTCACCCAGGCCTTTCCAAGGGGTAGCCTTCACCAGCTCTTCTAGGGGAAAATAGGGTTCAGTTCGCTCATCTTGATGTGTTTGTCAACACTAGAGGTGTCTGGAGTTATGGTGACTACTTGTTACAGGCAAAGAAGTAGGAGGAAAGTGACTCTTTGTAGTTGGCACAGCACCCAAAAACCCAGGATGGGCTGATCAGCTGTGCTGTGATGACATTTGGAAAGCCCTTTCTGCTCCTGGGTCTTTGCACGACTGCAGAGCAGTAGATAATGTTTATCCTAATACCCAGAGGGGGCTTAAGGTGTGTGGGTGGTCCTTGTTTTATCCTGATGATTAAAAGCCTGGTTAGGTTTACATCTCTTCTCATGGGAGAAGAGCTTGTCCTTTCATAATTTGGGAAGCAGCAGTCTGTGCACAATTGGCAATTACTTGCTGTTGAGTAAGAACTGCCTTGTACTGTTCTAGATGCTGAGAATCTGTTCATTTTGATGTAGCTTAAATTTCTGATTCAAGACAGGAGGAACACAGCTCTTGGGAGGGAGTGAGAGGGATCCAAAGAAACCATTCCAGCTTTTCCTAGGATTTCATAGGGTCATAGAACAGAGTTTCCAGTCCAATAGGCGGAGTTATTTTTATGACTCATCTGGTTAATATATTTACTGTCTCATAAGGCAGCAGGACAGTAACTTTTCTGTTTTCTCGGCACAATTGATTATAATGACATAAGCAGTAAACCAGACCAGGCCTCCAGAGACTGCATAATTTGTTTTGGCTCTTACTTGACATTTCTTGTTGGATTAGGTGATTTTAGAACAGGGTACTTCTGAGCTTGTCTGCTGATTTGTACCCCTCCTGTTTCCTGGTCAATCATGGCTTGTATTGAGAACATCAGCCATGAATGGCTCAATTAGTCCAGAGCGGAAAATCATCAGCTGTATCTGAAAGACAATAGGATTTTCTGGGGGATGTATAAAACTTCTTATGCTGGTGTGTACAAATGTTGTGCTTAAGCCAGTGGAAAAAAAATAAATCTTGCATGGAAAAAAAAGAAGCTGCATTGTTTTTTTCTGAGGCAGTTTTGATGAGTCAGTTCTTGGGCTAAGTCAAGGAACAGGGGTGACATTTCTGATGAGACAGACCTTCCTTTGTGTTCAGGCCATGTGATTAAATCGTGATAAGATTTGGATGTGGAGTGCCACAGGCCTTCTTCTCTTTGTACAGCAGGAAAAGGAGGGAAGAGCAGGGAAATCCTACAGCACCGAGGTGGGATGAAAACCTCTTGCCCTGGCAGCCCAGCCAGCACAAGCCTTTGTTGAACAGATTGGGCTCATCTTGCAGGAAGGGAGGCAATGGCCCTGGAGGCACAGAACAGGGGCAGGGCTTGGACTCTGATGTGTGTGTCAAGTTCAGATTTGAATGATGGAGCAGGAAGTTCAGATTCTACATTAAATGATCCTGTAACAAGAGCTGAAGCTGATTCTCCTGACTTTCCTACTTTTCAGTAAGGGTGGGATGTACCACTAAAGCAACAGAAAGTATTGTGGGGGTTTTTTTAAGCTGAAGAATTGCTGAGCTCCTCTGTAAGATGGACTCCATTAAGATCCAAATACTTGGGTGCTTAAAGAAACAAGTAACTCTATCCACTCTTTGTTCTGACTGCAGCTGATCACTGGGGTTTTTCGGTTTTTTTTTGTTTTTTTTTTAAAGCAACTCATGCTTGAACAAGGGCAATGAGCCTTTTCATGTTTGCCCACTTGTAGGATTGTTTCAGCTGCAGCTGAAAAAGCTTGAGCACTCCTATATTCCTGGATTATTCACTGCCCCCAATGAGCTGAGTAACTGTATTTCTCACAGAAGCTTCAAAGAACCAGGAGGTTTTTATATCACCTGCAAGATCTTACCAAGTTGTTCTTGGGGAGAAGGGGTGAAGCTGAAGGTGATGGAGTGGTAGTCAGACAAGGTATTAGCTCCTTCACCTTCATCAGGAATCATTTCTCATCTAAAGCAGTAATCAAGAGGGCATGTGTTTTGTGCAGGGCTGTGTTTGGACTTGTCTGCCACAGCTCCAGCAGAAGTCAAAGTTGTTTCCTTCAGACAGTGAAGGAGAGAGATGCTTCATGGTGGCTTTTTGTGAATTGCCCTGTGGCAAATTCCTGTGATGCTGGAATGCGAGGACCTTACTGGTTTAAGTACCGTGGCTTTCACTTTTTTAAGAAGGGAAATGGGAGTTTAGGTGCAGGGAAGAGAATGTCAGGAATGCTGACAGTCTGTAGTTCTGTGTCCTTTTCCTGGATCAGTGGAGACAAATAGCTCGGCTCTGCTCCACTTACTAAAAACTGTTTCCATTACACAGCTCCGTAGTGGCGTGCAAAGCTTTCCTTTGCTGAGCAGGGGAAGGGGACACTCCTGTGCATGTGAAATGTCTGACTATGGCTGCAGTGTTGCACACAGGGCTTTCTCAACACAGTAAAAACCCTTGTTCAGATGTGACTGACGGGTTCTTTCAGGAAAG